CCCCAAAACCCCAAAACCCCAAAACCCAACCTTGTAAAGTTTCAATAAAATTAGTAACTCTTCATAAAACTCTTATGGATTTATTTATATCATCAAGAATATTATTAATTTTGAAGTCAATAGCCCCTTATTCAATTACAAAGTCATCATATGTCTCTGAATCTTCAGTTAATTTTTCCTTAGATTGCACTTGATACATCTCGTTTTATTCAATTTTTTATATTCCACCAATATGCTTCACATATTTTTATAGTTCCCTATTATGCTTTTCTTCATTTTAGATAATGACCTCTTTTTTATATAAAATAGATTTGTACTAAGATTCTAGCTTCTAACTGGATTAACTATTATTTATATGGGAAGAATCTGGTTAGTATTGATGAATTGGGTAATTAATAATACTAGATTATGGATTAAAGAAGTCTTTCATTTTAATCATTCTTATATTGTTAGTTAGTAAGTTGCTTGTATCTTATAGATTTTCTTGATATCCAGTGAATGTTTTATTTATTGCTTAGCTATGGCTGAACTGAGGAAGTTTATATTTTTTCTTGCTAATTAAAAAATCTAATTTGTCATTTACTCGTCTACTTTAGGCTAAAGTATACTATGGCTTAAATATTTTGGCGTTATCATTAACATTTCTTGGCACAGATTTTGAATTTTACATAAGTGAAACTTAACCAATAGTTTCTTGACTCTTAATATTCTTATTATTTTCCTCAGAATTAATCGTTTAATTTATGGTCTAGGATTTTTCTACTAATTTCATCTCATTCTCTGCCTCAATCAAGCCTGATTTATCATTACTATTATTGATTTGCTTGCTTATTTAAGCTTTTCTCATCTTCTTTTTGATTTAGTAAAACTCTTCATAGTCTATAATAGAATCAGCCTAGACTATTTGATTATCTATTCTTATGAATTGCATGATATTCAACCTATCAACTTCTTCTTAAATCTCTTTATCTTCATCTTCATTAGTCATTCCATAGTCAGAAAACAATTCCAATTTATTGTTAAATTTTTCTTGAAAGGTTTGTAATAGAGCAACTCTTTTCTATCTCAGATCACTCAAGAGAAGATTCATGTCTTTTTATGGATCATAATCATTTAGAACATTCTCACTAGAGGTGTTTAACTTGATATGATTTTATATCAAGGTGACTTATTTAGTTAGCCCTCCTTATTTGTTAAAATTTAAGCTTGTCTTTTTAGATAAGCCGATTGGGTTAAGTTACTCTACCTTAATATCGCTTTACTGGAGCGCTTCTCTAGTTTCAATACTATTAGCTTTTTCATTTATCATATTTTCTTTAATTTCTTCTTCATGATTATGAGTAAATATTTGAGAAGTTAGCTTATTTATTTTGTCTGTAAAATAGTCAATTCTATCATCTCCTAGTTCTTATATTATTATATTTCTTGTATTTCTCTTTATAGAAGTTTATTTACTAATCTAGAATGAGTTGTTGGACTATCTAGACTCAGTATGGCTAGAGTTGCGACTATTAGTTTTGAATTTACTTAGCACACTAACTTAACTGAATCTTTAAATTTAACCTATACTCTCATTGTAACTACTTGTAATGTCTGGAAGGCGAGAATTGTATGACTAGTTGAGATTGCTGATGCTCGAAATTTCTTTATTATTTACTTTTCTATTTTTATATAACGGATTCTATCCCCTTATTTTCATTTTATTTTTATTGTTTTAAATTAATGATTGCTAATAAATTAATCAGATTTATATTAAAATGTTTCTAGATACATTTGACTAAAAATTTATGCCTTTGGGGTTTTGGGGTTTTGGGGTTTTGGGG